GACTCCTTAGAAAACTTGGACTGGAAATTCCATTTAAATCAGCTATTCCCGGGAGCTGGTGAGATGGCTCAGTGGTCTAAAGCACCTACTTGGAACAAGCTTAGCAAAGCACAGGGACCGCGGTTCAATCCCCAGCACCACATGCCAGCCAGCCCCGCCCCCTGGTGGGCTGAGCTGGCCACACACACACACATAAATAAAATTAAAAAAAAAAAAAATCAGCTATTCCCCTACTGGGAATTTTCCTAGAGGATCTGAAAACATCATATCATAGAGATATATGTGTGCCTATGTTTATAGCAGCACAATTTGTGACAGCCAAATCTTGGAAACAACTAAGATGCCCATCACCCGAGGAATGGATGAAAAAGATGTGGCATTTTTATACCATGGAGTATTACTCAGCTATAAAGAATGATAAACTCAAAGCTTTTATATTGAAGTGGATGCCACTTTAAGATACACCCATAAATGAAATAAACCAGACACACATGTGTAAATATTGTATAGTTTCCCTAGTATAAGAACTCAAATAAAGAAATAGAAATAGAAAGGTATAACACAACTAAAAGGAAAGCAAGAACTTGAGGAGTAGACAATGAAGAGAGAGCAAGAAGAAGAGCTAGGAAACATGACAGAGGCAAGCTACACAGTTAAATGTACAAGATGGGTAAGGTAATGATCTTGAGAATCTTCAGAAGATTTTCAAATCTAGCAGTTAATTGGTGGGATTCTCACCCTGAGTAAGTATATATACTGACACCTGTGAACTAAGCAACTGCACCTAAGATGGCAATTTGTAATAGTCGGTTCATGCTTAGAATTCCTGTCATTCTGGTCTTCTGAATACGTGCTGCTTGTCATGACATGCCAGGTGCTGCCATGCTGTCTGTCGGGCAGATGACTGTTTAAAAAGGCGGTGGTGAATGCAGGTAGGAGACAGGAAAAGGAGTGCTGTGGGACTGTCCTGCTACATGCTGTATATGGTAGAATCTGGACTTATGTGTAAACATATATAATTCTTTATTTCTATTTTTTAAATATATTTTAACATTTAAAATTTAACACATCAATACCTGATGAAAAATACCTGTTCCATGTTATGCCTAAGATGTTTGATATTCAGACAGATAGTGAGGTTAAGCTCAACAGCCTAGGTTGTACAGTAATAACAATAAGCTTCTCTTCTGGAAGGTCAACAATGTAAGTTTGCAGATAAAAATTAGAGAAAAAGGAGGGCTACACGGAAAGCCAACTTTTTGGCCCTAGACTTCCAAGGTCAATTAAGTCTCAGAACATATGAGAACCTGTACTGTAATATCATGTAACTCAGTTGTGTTCCAAATTTTCTGATCAAGGAGATTATGGGGCCACAGAGGAAAGTGATTGATGATGCAGAGTGTGCTTAAGGAGAGTCACCTGGAGAGAAAACATTCTCTCAGACTTTCACAGAGAGAAAACTGGCCAAGCAATGGCCGTGACTCATCCACATGGCTGACACTGACAAAGGATCTACAAACTGAGGTACAGGGTCTCAGGATAAATCCTAAGGGGATCTGACTGACCTTATCTGATCCAAAAGGTACAACTCTTGTTACACAGGTCTTGCTTTATCTTGGTCTTAACCATCCAGTAGAAAAGTATAAAAATGAAGGAGAAGAAGTAAAGCCATGTTGTTATGTTGAGCTGTAGAGGATTCAGTCCAACAACTTCTGACATTGCCAGTCAAGCAGAAGACCGAATACTATTGTGGACTACTGGAGTATAATGGAATATTTTGCTGAGTTAACACACCTACAATATTTAAATGATGGAACTAAAGAAAAAAGGGATACAGATGAATGACCATTTTGTATCTGTGTATTCAAAATGGTTAGGATAGATATATAGCTACATTCTCTTAATTCAATGAATAAAAAAAAAATTCAATGAATAGAGGGATTTGTTCTAACCACTAGGAAGAGAGTACGCAATGTGTGAATTGAAACTGTCGTATCAATTTGATTTGAAACTGTTTCATTGCTATTTGTTTCTCAATAAAATTATGGAAAAAAAAGGGGGGGGCCCACTCGCTGAAAGTTCAGTAACTGGAATATTGTCCTTTATCTGAGATCCAAGTCCTGTGGCATTCATCTTCAGTCCACTGTGTGAATGGCCGCGGAGTCCGGTTACCATCAGCCAGAGCGGCTGCTCACTTCCTTTCCTCGAAATTCTTTAATCATATCTAATTTATCAAAATTTCCTTTGTATCACATTTTATTTTATTTATTTTTTACGGAACTGGGGATTGAACTCAGGCCCTTGCGCTTGCCAGGGAAGCGCTTATTCCACTGAGCCATCTCCCTGGCCCCTGTATCACATTTTAAAACTATTTGTGTTAGACCAGGGCCATGAAAATGTTCTAAGTTTTCTTCCAAAATGTTTATTGTTTTGCTTTGTATGTTTAAGACAAACTTGGAATTGACTTCAATACAGAGTTTAGGATTTGCTTTTTTCCAACTAAGGAGCTTTCATAATATTTTAATAACATTTTTATCTTAACCAACACAATAACTATCTGAATGTAAAGATGTGAAACAAGAGCCCAAAGTCTTAAGTAGACCTTATAAGAAAGGATACAAACATCAAAGTGTCAGGTAGCAGATACAGAAATAGAATTGATGCATTTAAAACTCATTAACTTACTATGTGACTATGTGACTTTAATAGGTAAGCCAGCCAGTCACCTTTCAATGCTGTATTTTCCATCATTGACAAAATAGTAATATGAATAACAGTATTACCTATGAATATGAAGATTTACATTGGTACAGTTTAATTCTATTTTTTATTTACATTGGTAAGTTTTGAACAATACAATGTTTGATATAACTCAAACTTTAGGATGTATTCCTGACTCCGCAAGCTTGCATCCCAACAGTATCTACTTTACCTTATTTCTTTTTAGAAGGGACTAAAAATTGGGAGAACATCTTTGTCTTGTTGTTGTTTTGTTTTGTATTTTAAGGAAGAGTCTATGGGGTGTTCATGGTCTCACCACTATCAGTCTTGTAGTGATCCACCTGTTTACAGCCTCCCAAGAGCTGGGATTGCAGGCACATGCCTACACGCCCAGTCTCAACTGACATCTCAGTGTGCCCCAGGGGGTGGGGCTGACACAGCAGGCCCAGAGATTGAACCCCTGGCCCCTGTGCCTGCTTGCAGGTGCTTTAATCTGCTGAGCTATTTCGCCGGCCCAGGGAAAACGTTTTTGAAATGGTTTTTAAAAATTCTTATGAATTTTTTATATTACTTACAAATATACATTTAACCATTATAAAAAGAAACGTCTCTACACTCGACATACAGCTTTTAAAAAGAGGGTCCTCAATATTTGAAATCTCTGTCACTCCCTCATCTTGGTCATCTCATGCTTTCTTCTCAGATGACTGATTACTCTCCCGAATATCTTTACTATGTTTTTCAGTACTCATATGAATGTTGTACAAAATCTGCACTTTGGTTAACATGATGTTTATAAAACTGAACTTACATCACTGAAATCATCTTATGGTTCCATAAACAGAACTATAGGTTTCTTTTCTTTTCCTGTTTCACCTGCTCTTCCTCTTGTTTCTTGACCCTCCATGTAGTCTCAGATCGATCTCCAGTTCTACTAAATACTGATGGATTACTCCACATCCTCATTAACAATACTTTGGTATATACACATTTTAAATTTCTAAAATTAAAGCCAGTAAACTACAGTCCAAACTTGCATGCATTCCACTTTTGAGTGCTAAGATGTTTTTGAAATTTTAAAAAACGTTATAAAGAAAAAAAAGAAGCACCCACGAGAAAATGGAGGGGCCCAGAAAGCCTAAAAAAAAAATTTAGTGTCTTTTAAAGTTTGCCAATTCCTATTTTAAAACATTATCCTTGCCAAGCCTACATTTCCCATAATCCCAGTTTATTTTATGAACAGCTGCAAGGCAACTTTCAAAAAATGAACTAAGTACAGAGTAATAAGGCCAATTATACCAGATGGCAAAGGAGAATACAACAATAAAAACCTATTTTCATTTTTGAACTAAAAGTATTATTTTTTGATTATTTCTAACACACATGCTACTCCTATTCAATACTGCCATAGAAGTACTAGCTAATTTAATAAGGCAAGAAAAGAGAAAAAGAAAGGCATTTGGATTGGAAACAAAGCAGCAAAGCTGTCTAGTGGCAGAAGAAACAATTTTTTATATAGATAATATCAAGAAAAGTATGTAACAATAATTAGAACCAGTAAGACAATTCAGCAAGGTAACAGGATCTCATGTTAGTAGAAAAGCTTAAAAACAGATTTGTATACATGATGAACAAACAAGTACTTAGTTGTGCACTTTCCAGACAAAGATGCGAAAACACTCTGAAGGAGAAAGGAAACCTTTTCAACAAATTTTATTGGAAAAACTAGTTATCAACATAGAAAAACACTAAACTTATCACACAAACATTAATTCAAGATGCATCATAGACCAAAATGTAAAAGCTAAACCCACAAAGCATTTAGAATAAAACATGAGAGAAGATCTTTATGACTTGGATGTGGATAAAAATGATTTAGATAGAACATAGCACTAACTATAAAAGAAAAAAAAAGGATAAATTAAGGCTTTCTAAAAATTAAATTTTTTTCTCCTCAAAAGATACCATTAAAATAAGAAATAGGCAAGCCTTAGGAAGAAAACATGATCAAGTTTAAAGTCTTAACCTTGGGACCAGCAAGACAGCTCAGTAGACTAAGTGCCTACTTAGGCAAGCACAGGGACCAGGGTTTGAACCCTGGTACCACATGCTGTGCCAGCCATCCCCAGGCACACTGGACCAGGCACCGAGACCCAGCATGGTGGCACACACCTGTAATCCCAGCACTGGGGAGGCTGAAAAGAGGAGGATCACTATGAGTCCAAGCTGCGTAGTGATACCCTGTATCAAATACATAAATGGAAAAAAAAAGGTCTTACCTTGAACTCATCTGAAATTTCAGACACAAAAGAAGCGATCTGCTTCATAAGTCTGTCTACACTGCTCTCACTTCCTGTTTTGAGCAGTGTAGTAATGGCTAGGGTAGCAATACTTCTGTTTGAGTCTGTGATTAAGTTTTCTAAGTCCAGATTGCAGGCAGTAACAGCAGAAGGGTGCTTCATTGCCACCTTGTGGAAGGGCAAGAAAACAAAAAAGCTTTACTGTTGAAGACCAAAATTTAAATTTTAACTACATGGCCATCCAAAGGGTACAGGTATGTTAAATGTAGCTGTTAATTAATAAGGTATATCAGTTCATAAATTATTAATTACCACAATATAGTGTAACCTTCGTAACAATATCATAGTCTGTTTTTTATTATATACCTGGATGTTCTTACAGCACAAATACATTTACCACATGTTAGGATCTTCAAGACAGGACCTACCATGGTAAACACTGTTCAACGAACACTACCAGTAGCAGTCAGAAAAATACTTCTGTAGTTAATAGGCTTTTCTGTGTATGTATGTGTGCTAGGCACGCAGGCTAGGCAAGTGCTCCAGTTCCAAGCTGTGCTCTAGCTCTCCTCCTGTAATCACACAAAATAGGATGGCCCTGGCCACAGATAACACCGCAATTCTTTTTTTTTTTTTTTCAAAGTTTTATTGATAAACAGATAGCAATGAGACAGTTTCAAATCAAATCGGAAGTACAGTTTCAACAAATAATACACTGCATATATTCTTCTTAGTGGTTAACTGCTGTACAAATGCTTTGCTTGATCTTTAGTAAGATGAAACCGGGAATTGAACTCAGGCCCTGTGCTTGCCAGGGAAGTACTTATTCCACTGAGCCATCTCCCTGGCCCAACACCGCAATTCTTAAGCTTTCCCATTGGTGCTGATGGTATCCTGCCTCACCTCATCTTACACTGATAAAGAATTCCTAACCTATGGCCTGAAAGCATGGCAAACCCCTGAAAAGCACTGTGAAACATGGCCCATGCTAATGCAAAACTCAGTCTTCATTTATCTACTTAGCAAGGATAGTCATAGGATTTGTGCAGAAATATCAGCATGTCTTTGTGGTGGGGTGCTGCTCCAGGCCCCTGGAACTGATTAGTACCAGAAGAAAAAGCACCATGTTGCCTTTCCAAAATTCACAAAAACCTGAATTCTGAGATACATCTGGCTCTTCCTAATATTACAGATGAGGGATTGATATCTACACTATCTAATAAGATACTCATTAATTACATATAGCTATGAGCACAGGACATGTGATTAGAATGGCTAAGAAACTAAATTTTTTACTTAATTTTAATTAAATGCCACTTATGAATGCCTACTATATCAAACAGTGCAGCCCTTGAACATAAAGTGCTTAGAAGTCGGAAATGAAGTTATAACTTTCTGTGAAGTATTAAGTTAAAATGACCATAAGCAAGCCCACAAATACAAATGTGTTACATGTGTGAAGCGACAAATCATATAATAACCTTAAAGAGAAAGCCAAATGCTCCACATTTAATGTTTTATCAAAACTGGCATCAAAACTGTCTCATTGCTATTTGTTTATAAATAAAATTATGGGAAAAAAAAACTGGCATCAAAATCTACAGTGAGCAAAGAGAGCTTACCTTGTTCAAGGTCCGCACAGCTGCGTATCTCAAGGCTGGCTTAGGAGAGCTACAGAAAAGTTGAAGAACTGAAAAAAACAAAACCACTATAAATATTGTTCTTTTAATCATAGATCATCATACACCATCCAGCTGAAAATAAAATACACAATGAATCATACTCAAAATATGTATAAAGAAATTAGATCACAGCATCAAAAATTTACATGAAAAGTATGTCAGCAAAAAGAGAACATACTTTCTGTTCAGCTATAAAAACTGCATAATAATAGAATTTACTCTTTTTCCTAAGGATTAGTATACTCATTGATATTTGCATATAAATGATAGAACTATTGACAGCTATAATACTGGATTTCCTAAACATTAAGGAAAACTAAAGACATTAAAGTTATCTGTCTTCTAAGTAAAATTCTTTCAAAAGTTTTATACAGGAAAATAGAAACTTCGCAAAAGAAAAAGAACAACTGAAATTTTCTGCATGTATGCTATCAGAACACACAGGCTACGTATAAAGAGTTAAGTTTTAAAATTTATTCTTAGTTTTGCAGGCCAAAACAGAACCCAGTTATCAGATATTCAACTAACCTGAGACTGCAGGGGCCAACTCTCTCGCAGTACAATTAGGAAGATGGATAATAGCAGACGCAGCTTCATAAATAACCATTTCATGTTTATTTCGCAAGCAGCTTTCAATGAAATCAAAGAGGGGGCTTTCATGGCTGTCAATACATGCATATGTGATTACTTAGATATCAAACAGACAATATGCATAGTAGTTAAAAGCACAGATAGACCAAGATGCACTTTTGGCACACTAGGTAAAGGATCACTAAAAATTCCCTTCCCCTAAAATTAATGACAAAAAGATTGTCAAAACCAAATTTTTCTCAATTCTAGGAATGAATCAAAACTTGTAACAATTCTAAAAGTATTTATTCATGAAAAAACACTTCTTGGTAAAAACAGTGAGTTTCTGGGTGTTTAATTTGCCCTACTTCCGATTTCCTTTCCCTTCTTCCCAGTCTCACTGCAGTCTTAAAAGCCAGCAGCCTCAGAACCACTGCGGCTCTGAAAGCCAGCCACCTAGCAATGTTGACTTAATAGCAGAAAGGTAATTTTTTAAAAAAGGTAATTTACACACCTGGCTAATACAAAGGATGAAAATGACAGTCATATTTTTGGCAAAAAATTATCATAAAGGATCACTCATACATGGGAAAAAAAAATCAACTGAATTTCTATCTTAAAAAGAAAAAGAAAAAGAAATTAAACCTGAAAAAGCCCAGATGTTGTACTTACTAGGCAAAAACTTTAAATCAGCTAATACAAATATATTCAAAGAAGTAAAGCACATCATGTCTAAATAGTTAAAGGAAAGGATCACAAGTTCAAGTCTGGCCTACATGTCTAAGCAACTCTGCAAGACACTGGCTCAAAAAATAAAATATAAAGAACAAAGGGGGCAGGGCTGCGGATATATCCCAGTGTAAAGGCCCTGGATCCAATCCTTAGCACTGGTGGGGAGAGAGGAGACAAGAAGTATAAAATGTCTTACTAAAGAGAGACTACTGATAATGTGGTATGAATGATTTTTGTTGTTGTTGTTGGTACTGAGGATCAAACTCAGGACCTTGTGCTTGCCAGGCAGGTGCTTAGGCCACTAAGCTATTGCTCCAGCCCCTGAATGATTTTTTTTTTTTTTTTTTTTTTTTTAAGAAACCAAATAAAAATTTCAGATTTGGAAAGTACAATGACAAGGAGGAGACTCAATAGTAGATTTGCATTAGCAGATGAAAGAACCATTAAACTGGGAGAGAGGTTAACTGATAAACCAGCCATAGAAAATTAAAAAAGGGAAGAAAGCAAACAGAGAATTGAAGACTGTGCAGCATGAAAAAAAGAAAAAAAAAAAAAAAAGAAAAAGATACCAACTGTGTATAATAGGAATCCTAGAAGGAAAGGATGGAGACAAAGGGCAAAAGGAATAATTGGCAAAACTCTGGCTGAAGACCTCCCAAACTTGATAAAGACCATTAATCTATATACTGAAGAGGCAACAATTTTCAAGTGTGAACCACACATAAATATGCCATAGTCAAAATGGTGAATAGGAATAAAAATCTGGCCAGCAGCAAGATAAAACAACACATCACACTGTATAGTAGAAAATCACTATAATCAATGACTGACTTCACACTGAAGTCACATTATTTCATTACTGAAATAATGGAAGATTAAAAGTAAAATCCCATATTCCAAATGCTGAAATAAAAAGCTTTTGTTTCCTCAGCACTGGAATTGAGCCTTGCTCTTGCTAAGCCAGCATTCCAGGTGAGATAGGTCTCTAGGTCTGTCTTGTCTGTCTGTCTTCTTTTCTGGTGTGGGTAGGGTCTGAGTACAGTGCTCAGACTGGGATTCCATTAGCAAGCCTCCTATCTCAGTCTTCAGAGTTGATGAGATTAAAGCAGGCACCAACTGGCCTTGTGAGACAAGAATTCCACATTTTGGCAAAACTGTCCTCCAAAATGAACACGAACAAATACGTCCCCAGATAAACAAAGAGTGAAAATTTGCTATTTAGAGATTTGCTTTACATAAAATACTTCACATAAAATAGCATTTTAGACTGAAAGATTTGACTTCAGTGGCATAAATAATCAGAGCACCAGAAATTATATATATTTGTGAGTTGATAAAGATTCTAGAAATACTTTTTTCCTCATTCTTTCTTATTTTAAATACTTACACTTCAGAAAATATTCAATAATTATAACACTATTAGTAGATTCAAAACATTATACAACAATACATGACAATAACAGCAAACAGAAGGAAGAAGAAAATGGAACCAAACTGGAACAAAGGTTCAATATTTTAATGGGATTAAGTTAGTATAAATATGAAATAAACTGGCAAAATAAAGTCCCTATAGCATGGGGTTGGGGATATACATAGCTCAGTGCCACAGTGTCTGCCTGGCAAGTGCAAGTCCTGAGTTAGATTTCTGGTATCAAAAATAATCAAATTAATTAATTAATTAAAATCTGTATAGCAACACCTAAAAGGAAAAGTTAAACACTGATAAGGTGATACGTTAAAAATATCTAGCTAATATAAAAGAAAGCAATCAAAGAAGAGAGAAACAACAACAAAAACAAGATTTATAGAGAATAAACAGCAAAATGGAAGCATAAGTCCAATAAAACCATAATTATAATGTTTTAAACATGCAACCAAAGGACAGAGTTTGTCAGGTAATTAATTAAGAGCAAGCAAAAGATCGAACTGTCTATACGATTTATTTACACTTGAGATTCAAAGTCATAAGTAGGATGAAAGTAAAAAGATGGAGAAAGATATGCCATACAGACATTGAATATAAGAAATCAAGAATGGTTATACAGGGGCTGGCCAGATAGCTCAGCAGACTAAAGCGCCTACTTAGGCAGAGCACAGCGGCCAGGGTTTGCTCCCTGGTGTGCCCTGCCAGCCCCGCTCCTAGGGAGCACTGAGACGGCGATTGAGACTGGGCATGAGAAAGGACAGAAATTATCTAACTCAGGGCATAAAGAAGAGTCATCACTACTGATCATAAAGAAAGCAAAAAGACTGTAAGAAAATATGACCAAATAACTATATGCCAACAAATTAGCTAACTTAGATAAAGTAAATCTGTAGGAGTATCAAAGTACTAAAACAGATTTAAGAAGAAATAGCCTAAATAACTTCTACTTAATTATTTAAAATCATTCCTCAAAGAAAAGCACAGATACAGAATAGCTTCATCATTTAATACTATAAATATTTAAATGAATAGTCAGCTTTCACAAACTCAGGAAAAGCGAGGAGGAAACACAGTCAATTCATTGATGTCAGTCTGACAAAAGTTCACAAGACAGCCATAGAACACTGTTACTTTTAATGTATACACAAGCATCTAATAAAATATCAGCAAACTTACTCCTGTAATGTATAAAAAGAATTATACATCATAATGAAGTGGTATTAATCACAGGAATACTAAGGAGGTTTAAAATCAGAAAATAAATTCATGTTACATAACAAATTAATAATACAAAGGATGAAAACCACATACTCATCTTAACAGGCAGAAAAAGCAAATGACAAAATCTACCACTTGCTCATTATTAAAACGAACACATAACTTCCCAAAAACTAGGGGTGGAGGACATATTCTCAACTGATGAGAAACATCTTCGGAAAGCCTGCAGCTAACACCAGGCTTGACACTTTCCTTCGAAGAATAACAAGGCAAGAATGTCTGCTTTCATCACTTCTACACAATACTGTACTAAATGTATGGAAAGGAGCAGCTAATGCTTTGCTTTTTTGTCTTTGTTTTTAATCTTTCTCTCTTAATTTCTCATATATTTTTTTCTTCTTTTTTCCAATTCTGCATGAATATATCTTGGTAATCTGAACAACTAAGTTGAAGACAACATTGCAATATAACAAATAATGTCAAATTTCTATTACTTTATTTAGTGAAATTCTGTATTATTTCTAATTTTTTAAATTATTATTCTGTATTCTCTTTAAAAAAATACTGCACTAAAGTCTAGAGCCACTGAAATCAGGCACAAAATAATTAAAGACACCCAGTTTGAAAAGAAAAGAAGTAAAAACTGCGCACAGATGTCATGATCCTGCACACAGGAAAGCCTAATGAAAACACCAACCCCGTATGCACTCATAGAACTAATGGAGCACAGCTGTATTTTATGTTATATGATAACATGCAAAAATCAACTGAGTTCTACATTGACAACAGAAAATACAAAACAAAATTAATAGAAGCTGCATTCACAACAGCATAAGAATAAAATTAATAAAACAAACATAAGCCTTTTATACTGAAAACTATACAATGCTTCTGAGAACTATGTGAAGAAATAATCTTTGTGGCGGAACCAGGGATTTAACTCAGGCCCTTGTGCTTGCCAGGGAAGCGCTTATTCCACTGAGCCATCTCCCTGGCCCCAAGAAATAATCTTTGTCCATGGACTGGAAGGCTTTCTTATCACCAAAGTGGTGATTTTCCCACATTAATTTATTTTAAATAGATCTATTCCATTCAGTGCAGTTCTTAGCAAAATGGAAGCAGGATTTTGTTGTAGAAATTCAAAATGGATCCTAAAAATGGATATGCAAAGGACCTACAGTAGTCAAAATGATTTTGAAAAACTTCTGTTTTCCAATTTCAAACCTACTATATAAAGATATAATCAAGATAAGTTATATTGGCATAATAAAGAAATTTGTAACAAATGAACAGAACTGGGTATTCCACTGCAGTCACAGTTATCTGACTTTCAAAACAAATGCCAAGACAATTAAAACAGAAAGGACAGTTTGGTTGTTTTTTTTTTTTTTTT